TTGTAAGCCCGACACAAATTCAATTTGGTGCTAAATTCCCCGAATAGGGGGTAATCCACTTGGGAATTCCTTTGGGAAGACATTCGCATAATCCTAAAAAAGAAGGGAAATAGAATGGGGGAAAGAAGAATGAGATTGGTTAGTTTGCAACACATGATCCTTATGTGTGGTACGAATCAAAGTGATTTTGTCCTCAACTTCCTCCCTTTTCTCTTTGTACTTAGCAAACAACACTTGGGCTTTCCTTTAAACTTCCTTATTTCTTCCTCTTCATGGCCCTCGACCTCCACATGTCCCCCCTCCTCCTTCCTTCTCTCCCTCAACTCACTCATCTTTTGATACATTTCATTGACTTGAAATGGTGACATGGGATGAAGGACATATTTACGTTCATTCAACACAAGTGAATATGTGTTAGTTCTCATGTCTGGTAGAACGACCATATTGCCAAGGTCTCCCGAGTAGTACATGATAAGATTGCATTGGGATCACATCACATAGGATCTTATCTTGGTACTTCCAAATTTTGAACTTGATCAACTCTTGTCTATGAACCCTCAATTATCCAAATTCACTCAACTATTGAAATTTGTAAGGTTTAAGATGCTTAGTGGTAGGAACCTTCAAGAAATCCACTAAAGTCGTGCTAGCAACATTTTCCCAACTTCCACTATCAATGATCAAGGAATATATATTACCCTTAGTGATCACGTCAGTCATGCCTTATACCCCTAGAAAGTTATATTGGTTCCTCTCGATGGGGTGTATACATCGGACTCCACGTTTAGCTCACGTGGTTTTATGTCGATTAATAGTAGCTCCCACAATCATATTTTTAGTGCATTTGACGAGGATTCCAATATATACTTCAGTATTCAGTTTAGCATGTCATGTTCATGATTAGCACTTGGTCATTGCATTCAGCTTAGCTTTTCAGTTATGTTTCAGTATCTACATTCCTGCTCAATTTATGTCATTGCTCAGTTATGCTTTGTTCAGCTTATATATATTTTTTCAGCTTAGTATCTATATCCTAAATGCTCAGTACATTTCAAGTACTGACGCATACTCTGTGCTACATCCTTTCATGATGTAAGTTCAGGTACTCAGCATCCAAATCGCGCTTAGATCGATTCTAGGTTCGCATTTCAGCAGCTTCAGTGGTGAGTCCTCATACTTTGAGGACAATAGACATGTTTTTCATTTTAATTTGTTTATTCAGTTTTCAATTTTGTTAGAGTTAGTTGGGGGGCATATCCTAACAACTCAACTCAGTTAGAGGCTTTTTAGATATAGTAGTAGAATCAGCTTGAATTGTTAAGTTGATCTTACAGTTGTTATTAAACTCTTAGTATGTTTTATACATTCAGAATAGTTGGGGTTTTCCCCCTTTTTAGTTATCCTTGATTTAGCTTCCGCATAGTACATGTTTTATTTAGTTATTCCTAGTATGCTTGATATATGTCAGACACAATGTTAGCTTAGGGTCCTTCGTGATCCTAGGTCCCGTGTTACGTCAAGGGGCTATCCTCGAGGCGTGACAGGAAATATCCAATTAAAAATTAACATCTGTATATATTCCCTAATTAAAAAATAATATTACCTTAACAACTAAAATTAAGGATATTTAATGGAAAAAAAAATGACGTGGATTGCCACGTGGAAAATAAATATGGGTTCATTTTACTTTAATTCCACCCTTACGCGCTAAACGTGAGTGTGGTCACTTGCTCATCCAACTAAGCTGATAATACCCTCAACAATACACTAAAAAAATAATTTTGGGGGGGAATAGGACCCTCGCAAAGTTGGAGTGCGTAATAGCAATTTCGGTCAAAGTTTGTGTGTGTTTTGAACCCTTTTCCCTTATTAAAATGTGAGATTTTGAGATGGAACAATATCCTTGGTAGATTGGATTGGATGATAATAATATATATTGGTGAAATAATTAGTTAGTTGATGGAATTCATGTCTCAATATAAAGATTGATGATACACCTTTTTATGAGAAACTTATAAGTTTTCATGTACAAACCCACCCGGTAGACTTATGAATCTAGCGCATGAAATAAGTTAAAGTATTTCTTTAAAGGAAATTAATCATCGAATTAAATTCGTCAGTAATTGTAATTTAATTTATTGATTAGTGTCTGTAATCTTAATATGGGGAATTACATAAGTGTTTAACGGATAATTTTGAAATACAAATGGAAGAGTGCAATTATGAATTTCTAGTGGAATGATATGGTAAGAATAATTAGAATATTTTTTTGAAATTATTTCCATAATAGGAAACCCAGTAATTAATTTTGTGATCCCTACGGTGCTTATATTTAACTAGAATTGAGAATCTTATTTCTAAGAGAAAAGGAGAGAAATAGCGTGAGTTTCTTGTTCAAGAAAAGAGGTGCATATTAATCTTCTCCCTTTTGAATTGAGAAGAAATCTCTATAAGTAGGATTCTTCTAACCTAGAAAGTCATTCAGCTTTCTATACGATACTCTTCCACCCAAGTATCAAGAGAGTTCAGTTGTTAATTTGAGATCTCTGTAGAAGATCGTAGAGTTGGAGTTTGACTTGCTTCAAGATATTCATGCACACGCTTCAAGAGGTAATCTTAAGTTAATTTTCAACATACTTTGTATGTGATGTGTATTTGTGGTTGTTGTCTATATTCATGTAAGTTATATGATTTTGGAATGTTTTCGTTGTGTATACTATTTTCTAACAATTGGCATCATGAGTCATGTTTACATCTTTATAGATAGTATAAAATATATGTATGTGCATTTATGTGCGGTCATATTTATGGTTCATGAATCGGGGTTCAAAAATTGTGTGATATGTGAAGATTCTTATGCACTATCCTTGATTTTTAAACGAAACAATTTGAACGTTTTAAAGGCTTAAAATGCCCTTAAACTATGTGACATGGATAAAAATGTCCTATGTTAATAATTTGGCTTAAAATGCCCTTGCCGTCAATACTTTGGTTAAAAAATGCCCTTGTAGTTAATAATTCGATCTAGGAATGCCCCTATAGTTACTAAATGGGTCAAAATTGTCCTTCTCCGAATAAATATATTATTTATTTTTTTCTTTTTGAACACATCTTCTTCCTAATTAAAATATTATTAAAGAACCCTATTCTTGTTTTCTTTCTTTTAAAATCACTTTAACAAATAAAAATGTCTTAATCTCATTTTATCAATTAAAATAGAATAACTTCATGTACCCTTTCAACAAATAATATATGTCATATATATAACATCATAGTAAATCTATCATTATTTGTATTTATATAACGATTAAAAAATTATAATAAAATAAGAATTTTATTTTTTTTTTATTTTTTTTTTCTGAATTGAAATAGGACAAAAATTTGCTAGTTAAAAAAAATATTATTAGAAAAAGAATGTTCTTAAAAGAAAATAAATAATATATTTATTGGGAAAATGAGCATTTTTTACCTATTAAATAACAATAAGGGCATTTTTGGAGCAAACCATAAACATATAGCATTTTTGTTCATTTCGCATAGTTTAAGGTCATTTTAACCCTTTTCCCCTTTATTTTAGTACAATATTATTCAACTTTTATCTTTAACAATCCTCTTTTCAAAAATATCATAAATAGTCCCTTAATTATAAGAGTAGATCTAAAATAGTCTCTTAACTATGCACTTACCGGATTTAGTCTTCGACTATTCAAAAACTTATCAAATTTAGTCCTTTAATTATACACTTACCTATTTTAGTCCCTTAAGTATACATTTACCTGTTTTAGTCCTTTTAGTATTTAAAAACTTATCAAGTTTAGTCTTTGTTCATTTTTTATACAAATAACTTAGGTTTATACTGACCAAATTCATGCCTCTAGAAATTAAATCATTTAGCCATTTTTTTAGTTGTTTGCCTTTCCCCGCTACTTTTTCTTCAAATTTTCCTTATGAAAAGAACCTTTACCTCAATGATTCAAGATAAAATTCACGAGGAAAGAAAATATAAGACATAATTTTATTCAACAGAAGATAAAATGAAGCATATTATTGCTACTTATGACTTGAATATGCTAAAAAAAATTATTAAAAAATAAAATTACCCGTTAAATCCAAATTTATACTCCAGCGATTTTATTGAAGGAAATTTGTTTAATTTTTCAAAAGTTGAAATTTATAAAATGGTAGATTTGCAACTTTTTTGTAGTTTGTTTTAGTTTGTTTTTAATAGATCAATTTTATTATTCTTTTCACTTTATTTTACGTAGAGAAATTTGAGTGATAAAATCAAATCTCTTATTTTTCTTTCGCTAACCGTCAAAGAAGGGAACATCACATATTCAAGTCACTAGCAACCTCCATTAAGTAAAAACTAGAGCTTATATCTTCTTTCCTTAATCTTATTTCAAATTGTTGTGGTTATTGTTCTTCTTGTAAGAGTAATTTGAAGAAAAAACAACGGAAATAGAGAAATAATTGAAAGAATGGGTTAAAGATTTAATTTCACAATGTGTTTCGTTAATATAAACTTAAGCTATTTGTACAAACAAAATGGACAAAGACCAAACCTAATAAAATTTTGATTACTTAAAGAAGTAAAATCGGCAAGTGTATAGTTAAAATACTAAAATTGATAAATACATAGTTAAAGGACCAAACCTGATAAGTTTTTGATTAGTTAGAAGACCAAATCTGGACAAGTATATAATTAAAGAACCATTTTAGACCTACTCTCCCTATTCATAACCATTTTAGACCTACTCTCCCTAGTCATGGCATGTTCTCGTGAAAAACATAAATGATACACCTAGACAGAGTAAGTTTTAGCATCTAATTTGAGTATTCAAATAAATTATGCTTAGAGAAGGTGGACCAAAGATGATGGGCTCCTTACCCTTTTAGGTCACAGTTTTTCATCCCATCGACGTTTGCATAGAATGGTATGCCGTTCTATTTTTTATATCCATAAGAATGTTACTCCAAAGCTAATTTTTTAATACACCTTCAGAAAAAAATGTCAGTCTCATTGAACTACAAGATTGTGAAACTGGGATTTTACTGTGACTGAATGGAAGAAACAAAAATAAACTGAAAATCAATAATTATACATTTTTCTTGTATTGTTCCTAGAACCCAGAAAACGCTACCAGATGAGGTTAGTGATACAACTATGCATGTTTCAGATTATCTTCAACGAGTTCAATACACCGATATAAAACCAACTCAATGGGGTTCAAGGAACACATTGTGTCCGATGCTAGTTTTTCATGATCCTGCTGGTTTTCTGCCATGATTCCTGTCACTAATGTACGCAAAGGAAGAAGCCATTCATTGTATGCCGTCTGCAACATGTCCTTACAGAGCACTCCAGTACAGTTCGTTTTTCCTGTTGCATGTGTTTTGAAAGTCAGATGATCATCAGTAATATTAGTGTCATCTTCTGTTGTCTCCAAAATTGAATAAATCAGTTTAGCCAACAGATATTAGACGACAGAAAAGACTGACTATCCACTGATGATAATACATAAGTCTTCTTTCTATTAGAAAAAAGAAAAGACTTGAGATAACAGAAGATTTCTGAAACTATCTACAAATTGTTTTGTCAATAGCTTTATGCACAAGGCACTTGAACAATTCAACTAGGCCCATCATAAAGTATTTAGGAAAAATTACAGAAATCTCACTTTTTAGTTTACTTATTACCATTATCCCCTATAAGTTTTACAAATTTCCAAAATCCCTCATTTTCGTGCATCAGATTAGTGTATCAGCGCTTATATTATTGTATCTCGCGCATCAGATTAATGTATCAGCGCTTATATTATTGTATCTCGCGCATGTATCAGCACTTATATTATTGTATCCATTTGAGGAATTTCTGTAATTATAAACTTTTAAGGGATATAATGTAATTTTGCCTTAAAAGTATGTGATTTCTGTAATTTGCCCAAGTATTTATATTCTTTATTGATGTTTGCTCCATCTGCTACATAGCGCAAAATAATGGACTATGGAGAGGAGATATGTTTCCCAAAAAATAAAAAGGAAGAAAGAGGAAGGGGGCAGAACCTTTTTTCTGATCAGTAAGCAAGAATGGAACTTAAATGAAGATCTGCTAGATCATGCCCCACTAATTCCAAACAAAACCAGGGACTAAAGAGGACATGTGCAAAAGAACATTAGCCATGGACATACCACCTGACATTACAATTTTCCTCTATCCCATTTTAATGACTTTAGTATTAAATTAGTAGTGGTGAAAGAACATATTGAAGTAGCTATTGAAAAGTTAGTTTAATAAAAATGTCAAATTTAGATATACTGAATGAAAGTTCTATAAAATGTCATCCAAGATGTTTTGACATGATACTTATAGGCTTATGTACATGCTTTCCTTCCTCAGCTTGCACCTATTTCCTTTACACCCTATATACATGGGTAATCTTTAACATATCAAAGTTGTTCGAAACACAGCTATTACACAACTGATAGTGTTTGGCCACTTATTCTTAGAGGTTGCATCACACGTGGCAATCAGTTTGCAACACATGCCATAACTCAAGGAAAAAGAAACTTAAAATTCCAAGTATATCCCCAATTGACAGAAATTTCCAACTTCTGCATTCTTCAACTTCCTCCTTGATGGTTGCCACCAATACTGCCCCCATGGTTTTCGCCAATACCACCATCGCAAAATCAACATAGCCACTCTTTGGCAATCTTCATTCTCTAATTTCACTCACCTCACATTTCTGCCCTGCCACCAATCTCACTACATTAATAAAGACCCCATCTGTGATGCCACAAAACACTATCCCTTCACCAGACACCTCCTCCAACTAGAAATAATTTGGATCGATCCCTTCAACCTCCTTTCATGCTCACGATGGCCATCTAATTATTCCACCACATCATGCCAGAATCACCCAAAATAATATCCTAAACAGAGACCACCATAAAGGCATCGGGCCAACACCTCTCTTCGACCCCAACAACTCAACTGAAAATCATACACACTCGACACCACTCCACCTAAAAATCACCGCTCTCTCCCTCTTTTATTATTATTCCACCAAGTTTACTTATAAGGATTTTATATCTCTTCGCAACTCCTACAATTTCAATCTCTCCCATCTGTATTTCTACTCTTGTTAAACATAACCAAAAAGATTAAGAAGCGGGGTTGAGTCTGTGAAATCTTGCTTTGTAGAGTGGTAATGGGGCTATTAGTTGAAGGAAGGTTTGGGACAATGGGTTTGTGTATGGCAAATGATAGGGGTGATCTAATGGATTTTCTGATGAAGGTCATTAGGTAGTGATATTGGTGGGGAGGGGCGGATGTATGTCTGTGATTCTTTTTGACGGTTGGACAGGGGAGTAACCTGAAGGTGGTGGAACTGGTGGTGGTTGTTGGATGGAGAGGTTCAACTGCTGGAGAAGATGAGCATGGAAGGTGGACAATCGAGGAGGTAGGGGACACGTGTCACATAAATAAGGCCTCGTACAAAATGCTTGTTCATCATACGCCAAAAAAAGGCTGGTAAAATATGTTCTGGCCACGTCGACAAAAAGTTTGGGATAGATAAGGTGTACAAAAGGAACATATGAGCAATTTGGACATCATACGCCTAATACTGGTAAAATATGTTCTGGCGTTCTTGGGGTTGGGACCTGATTTCTTTGAGTCCACCAATGATGATATACCTACAGACCAAGATAAGTTGCGCATTGGTTCGGATGTGGATTCTAACACTGATGATGATGGAGACTATCCTCTAGCTCTCGAAGACGCTGGAGGTGACGATGCCATGGAGGATTGAAAAGGGAAGTTCTCCACCCTACTTTTGTTTTTACTTTTGTGATTTTTGCAGCACTGGATAGTGCTATGCTTTTAAGTGTGAGGTGGGGTGTGAGATCATGTCCATGTCCTGTGTATATAAATGGTTGTTTTTTATTGTTAGTTTTAGTTTGGATTCCTTGGAGTTTGATTTCGGTTCTTTGACCAAGGATAGCCCCTTCGAACCGTACCAAAAAATAAGATTTTTTCTTTGTAGGATTGAGTCAGTAGTCATAGTTGAGAGACATTTACTTATGATGGATGGATCACTAACGACTGTCTTAAGGGTATAGTTTGTCAATGTGTGTGTCATGGTATGGTGTTTGTACTGAGGCTGCATGAAAGAATGTTGGGTGACGTGTAAAAGCATGAGGGGAAGTATGTTTAGAGACCCTTGAAGCTCTTATGTTGACTTAGAATGCAACTTAAGCTTAAAGTAAACTCTTACATGGTCCAAACTTGTAAATCGCTAGAAATCTCACTAAATTTGAGCAGGTCACATTGTGTGATAAGGTTTGTGTATTACTTGCTACATCATAATGCCTAGAACTTGCCTGGTGTGTGTAAAGTGAAATGCAAGTATTGCTCCGTTTAGAAGATGACAATAGGCCTTCCTTGATTTGCCTTGTGAAATCTAGCCTGCTCAGATATTCTATCACTAGTCAGCCCTTTTGAGTCTCTAGCATGTCGTTAGTAGCCATATTTTTGCCTTAGCCCTTTTGTTGAATCCCTAGTTTTGGAACCATGCTTCCTTGAGCACTGTCGCATAGACTTGATAAACCTATTGAAGCGGAAGAAAGGGGATGGTTGAGTGGAAAAAGGTGGTTTATGATTAACTACAAAGTAATGAAAAAGCCCTCGTGATATGTGTATGAAGCATTTTATTGATGAGATGAAATCAGTACTGAATAAGTATTGAGAAAAGGACTAAAAACAAAGGGAAGAAAACAATGAGTAATGAAGTCTAAATTGCAATGTGCTTAGGGAAGTGTAAGTCACTATTACATAGTTTCCATACCCGACCCCTCACCCACATTACAACTCATGAAGTCCTGTTTGATTATAGTCGAGCGTACTGAATTAGTGGAGGAGCACACTAAGGGCAAGCCTATGGCTCGTTATGTGTAGCATGTGAAGTCGTTTGTGAGAGTGAGTTTGTTTTTATGTTGTGCCCTTTGTTGAGATAAATTGATTAAAAATGAGTGAAAAGTGGGCAATTCTTTGTCGTGAGGGCTCATGTTTAATTATAGATGGGTGATGACTAAGTGAGGCCGAATGAAGATCTATGCTTGAGTTGATAAGACTTGTTGAATCAATGTTTGAGCCATGAGGTTTCAATGTATTTGCCTTGAATGAATGAAACGTATGTTATGCTTGAGTGCAAAAAGATAATGGATTTGTGAATTGTGTAGCCACAGTACAAATGTTGTTGTTTGTAGAGTCGTAAATTAAGGTATTTTGTGTGAAGGTGATTTGCTCGAGGACGAACAAAGCTTTAAGTGTGGACTGGTAATCTTGGGCATATTTATATGCCTAAAAGCCAAGTGAAAACCTATGTTTTAAGCTAATTCGAGAGCAAATTCCATTAGGTTAGTTGTAAAGAGTCATGTTTATGCATTTCACCTAACCAATATGATTAGGTGTTTGTAGGTTGGAAAGCACGTGAAATGGGCACAAAATGACAAAAACTGAGTTGGAGGTGAAGCGAAAATGTGGAAGCACATAAGGCAAGCCTCGAAGGAGTAAAAGAAGGATAGGATGAGAAATGAACCCAGCTCCATATTGGCTTCATATCGCGGAGCTGGGATTTTAAATCTGGCGTAGGAATATTTTGGACTAGAGGAGCTTGTATGGGCTCTGCGTCACGGAGAAGGCAGTACTGAAAAAATGGGCAGGTCCATATTGACTCTGTGTCAGACCTGTGCGCCAGATTTTTGTCGTATTTTTCTAAGCCTGTAAATAGTCTCATTTTTATTATTAATGTTTTTCAATTTTGTGGAGGACAGGACTAGGACGACTTTTCTTCTCGAATATTAGGGTTCATTCCTATTCTTTAATTCTTGCATTTTTAGTTTACAAATATAAATCAAACTTTTGTGGCACACTTGCATTAATTTGTGGGTATTAGTGAAATTTGATATAAGCTAATCGTAAGTCCTTTAGGTTCAATAATCCGGCTCTTCTAGAGCCACTATATTACTTGTGCAACCACGTACACTTGCATGTGCATTTGGGAGCAATAACTGCAATTGCAACCATGACAAAAAAATTGTCCTAAATTCTTTTAACGTTTTGGAAGGTCACAGGTTTGGGAATTATCTAAGATTTTTCCTTTAACACCAAACCAACTTGACAAGATTTCCATTTTTATGCTTGACAATTTCAAAAACCACCTAGCAGAATGGAAGACAAAACTTTCTAAACTTGGCAGACCGTTCTACTCCCATTCGCTCTACTCTTTAACGTCATTCCTAATCACTTAATGCAAATCATTTTTACACCCAAAGAAATTATTCATCACTTTGAGCGTTATCAGCGACAATTCATTTGGGGTTCTAGTGCTCACAAAAGAAAACTTCATCTAATTCATTGGAACAGTGTCACAAAATAACAAGGAGGCCTGGGAATACAAGATCACCAAATCAATGCTTGCTAGCACTGCCTGGAGACTTTGCCATAATCCCAAATCTATGTGGGCTTCATTACTTCTCAATCGCTACATGTCATATCATGGAAGGACTACTCCACACTCTTCCAGAACTTGGAAGAACATTACAAATGACTGGAATTATTGCCAAAAAGGTATAATGTGAATAATGGCCACACAAACTCACGTTAGATTAATGGACAGAACCTTGGTTAGCCCCTAATTTAACTCTTCGCAAACTTATTCAAGGCCTACTCCAAAAGACTGACCAAGCTGTTATGGTTTCATCTATCATACACTATGGCTCATAGACACTATCCTCCACCTGAAGAAATCAAAAGTCTCATTCAGAACCATTACCTTCCCCTTTTCACTATTTTTTTAATCAGCTTAACATATCTATTTTAAACAGAGAATTAGAGCAAAGGTATACTTCAGTAATAATTATAGTAGTAGCCAAAAGAGCAAAACCTACCCCCCTAGATCCCTCATAAACTGTCTAAAACATGAATTATGTCCATACTCACATATAGGGAGGATTCTCCCTACCATACACTTCATAGTCTACACACCTTCAAATTCACTTCCACGGCTTATGATTTACCAAGCCAAATACTCATTGCTTTTACTTTGTGGCATTTATGGAAGACTCGAAATGATAACATATTCTCGCACAAAAAAAATCAACCTAAGACAACTTATTTACCAAATGGCTTTGGAATATTATCACACAAGTAACACTCGTATTAGGAAATGCCATTAAGTCCTAGTACATGTAAAATGGGAACCACCACCGACAGGTATCTACCAACTGAGTACTGATGGTGCATTCAAGGATGCAGAAGAAAAACAGCGGATTGGAGGAGTTATTCGTGACTCAAATGGACAATGGATAGTGGGATTTGCAGGTGCAGCAAACACAGCTTTAGCCATGGAAACAGAATTGTTAGCTTTGCTTCATGTGCTCAACTTGTCTGTCCAACGAAACATCATGCCATTGCAAATAAATATTGATGCCCTGGAATTAGTCTCATCTCTAACACATACAACTAACAATGCAATACATTTCTTTACTGACTGCAGGTAGTTCCTGCACAAGTTGAATGATCCGGAAGTCAATCATGCGTACAAGGAGAAAAACAAAGTAGCCGATCAAGTGCCCCCAAGGCATAGCTCAAGTGGCAAAAGGTGGAGGATTTGTGGCTTAGGTAGCAGGTTCAAGCCCCACACCATGCAAAGCGAAGCCTGGTATTTAAGTGGAGAAGGGTAGAGGGGCGGGCCCATTATCCACCAAGTTTAGAAGGCAGTGATTGGTCCAAAGGACGGGTCACAGACGGATTTCTCGGTTATCAAAAAAAAAAAAAAAAAGTTGCCGATCAACTAGCTCATTTTGGTAAAACACTGACTGAAAGTAGCATCCACATACTTGATCAACCTCCTCTTTTTGTTAAAGATCTCTTACAAGCATCTTCATGGAGGTACAGCAAAGGCAAGACTAATTTCTGCAGATATGGTGCTATCCGAAAACAAGATAGTTCCAACTGTAACCAGCCATTAGCAGTAGGAACACTTGTAATGTCCTCCATAACTTAGCTTTTGATGCTAACCTTTTGTACTCTTTGGGGCAACATGAGCTCCCATGTATATTTTGCTTAATATAATACAAGTCTAATTGTTATTACCAATCTTCACAAGTTTTTTGGAATTCAAATTCATTCAATTAATTCAATCTAAGTTTTGGTATTGATGTTTTCTCTGTTAAATTAGATTTTCAACCATTACTAAGATATTTTCTTCTTACTGCCACTAATATAATACATAAGTCCAATTAACATTTTATATTTCGTATCCCATCAAATATCAACACATTGGTTGGGTAGGGTATTTATACTAAAAAAGCATCAAACATTAAAGAAAACCCACAAATAGGAGAACCATGTTACTGGGACCAGGAGAGTATTATTCTAATCAAAGATCAAAATGAAAATGTAACTAAATCTCATGTAGAAGCAACCATAAAAGACACACACATATAGTCCAAAAGAGATTTTTTTTTTTTCATAATTAGACTACACTTACCTGTTGACTCTCTGATCACTACAAACCGATAGAGATTGAGAGCTGATAGAACCTGTAGAGTATGGCAAGAAATACAGTAAGAAAATGTAAATTTAATCAATGTGCGTGGTTAAAAAACACAAAAATTTCCCTTCATACTTCCAAATTTGGTATGCTTGAGGGTATCACGTGAGTATTATCAACTTTTTGAAGGGTAAATCACTAAGGGGCCGTTTGGTTGCTGGTTAGAGTTATGTAGGTATTAGTAATACATGCAATAGTTATGCAGGTTGTTGAGAATACAACCAAATTATAAAAGTGTGCTCTCTCTAATAGCTTAAGCTTTTAGACGAGATGGTCGCACAGAGCAGGCAGAGGTCCTGAGATCGAATCTCACCGCCACCCAAAATTAAAAAAGAATTTCCACGTGCTTGGCCCATGAAAAAGAATCAGGCCCACACGTGAGGGGGTGTGTTGAGAATATAATCAACAATAAAAGTGTGCTCTCTCTAACAACTTAAGCTTTTAGATGGATGGTCACACACTTCAACACAGGTATTAGCAATGCAGGTATTAATTATGCAGGGTTTATTTGTGCAGGGTTTAGTTTTGCAAGGTTTAGTTATGTAAGGTTTAATAATTTCTTTGGGTGTTGGTTTGTTATATTAACAATTAATAAACACTATATACTTCTTAAAAATAAATTATTTATCCTATTGAGTTTGACAAGTTTATGGACGGTCAGCTGTTGCTAGGACCTTTTACATTGCAACCCATGTCTTGTAGTTCCATGCTTTCACCACTTAAAAAAACACAAAAAGTAAAAGGTAAAGTAGAAGAAATAACCAATGTGAGACAAATTCTCATCTACATACAAAGAATGATCACTGAGGTTAGTAACCAAACGGGCTCTAATAATAAACTTACACTAGTGATCAACCAAGAATGGACATTAATCTGACTCATAGAGGAGAGGAAAAGAGCCGTCAATCCTCATTATTTTCACCAGGCAAGAAACAATATATAGACTAGAGAAGAAAATAGGCAGTTGAATCACACAAGTGGGTTCTAGGAAGGGTAGAGTATACGCAAACCTTACCACTACCTCGTGGAGGTAGAGGCTATTTCTGAAAGACCATCCTCTCAAGTGTAACAAATCCAAGTACAAAGAGTAAGAAAACAATGAGAAAAGCATAGCAACTAGCAAGGGAAGCAGTGCAAGTCTTGCAAGAAAGGAACAAGAACAGCAAAATAGTGCGACAATCAAAACACACTAAGCAACAGACTACAATATTACAACTAGTATGATGACAAACACCTAGACTCTCAGAAAGCAAGACAACACTCCACTGCCTACTAACCTTCTACTCTAATACGCATCCTGCACACCCTCCAATCTAAGGTCATATCCTCGATAACCTGAAGTAGAGTAATATCCTTTCTAATCACCTCTCCCCCACTACTTCTTCGGTCTACCTATTTCAGGTAAAACTATACATTCGGGTACTTACTCCTTATGAACAAATTTAGTATGTAACATCTTTAGCACCTTCAACCTGTATTTTTTTATAACTGAGATATCCCCGAGGGACTGCTGGTGCATAGTTCAAAACTTGTTGGATGATGGATGAGTCCACCTCTCTACCCTTCTCCACTTAATACCAAACTTTTGTCTGCGATAGGTTTTGAATTCATGATGTGCGCCTAACCTACACATTACGTTAATGAGCTCTAACCATCAGATTAGAGCCCCGAGGACTCGACTTGTATTTTCTCAACTTACTAGTATCAATATGCCCAGTTATTCATTTTCGAACAAAAATACACCACTTTTGACTGGGCCTCAAATCCTAGCAGCATCCTTGTCGTACTTCTAAGAAAATGCTCCATGAGAAAACACAAGTTGACAATTGTGTGTGAACCACTTTTAATGCATGTCATGAAGTTGATAAAGAAGGCGGGCAAGAAGAGTTGATTCAAACTTGAATGTTTTTCATTTCTCTGAAGATTTGATGAAGTATATTGCAACAACATTACCTCAATCGAGAGAGAGAGAGAGAGTTGGTCAAAGATGGTCATCAGATGCAAATCCCCAAAAATATTAAGCACAACATCACTGCATTAATCCTTTATAATGATTAAAACGTAAGATTCAGATATCCTAGAATTTTCTCATAATTAAGATTCACAAAGAAGTCCAACTGGCAGCTCACATGTAAATTAGAAGAGGGATGATCCTATGGCTGAAATCTTCAATAAATTGGTTATTTGTGCCCCAAATCCTATTGTCAATTAGCTGATCAATCATGTCACAGATAAGTGAAAAGAACACAGAAAATCCTCACATTATATAGCAATCAATTCTCCTCAAACTATATAGCAACCAGTTTTCTTGATGGAGTCATACAATAAGCTAGCTTATAGACCAAGTATCGCTAATGCCACTGGAAGCAGAAGCATTAGAGAAAAATTCCAAATAGAAATCAATAGAAGAAGAGATGGAGGGCCACCATTTGGAATTACAATATAAGTCACAATTTATTGAAGATTTTAGCCGTATCATTCTCTCCAGCCAGGCAAGTCTAATGCAAAACTATAGATGCTAATATAAGTCACATATTGTCGAGTTAAAAAGGAAGAGACAATTACAGCATCACTGTACTCAGGAAGAGATGGAGGGCCACCATTTGGAGGCTTCAGAACCAGCTCTACTAGTTCCAGAACACCAGCACTCCAAAAGGAGAGACATTGAGAATATTTCACCTCTGCCTCTGAGACCCCACTGTTTACTGAGATACAGCTACTATATTCCTCGTGCATTTCCCTTCTGATACAATCTAAGAGGATTGCAATCTGTACATGAAACAATATATCTAAGAGCAAATTCAATCAAGTGTAGTCCAAGAACAATTACTGTAGCTGTAAACTTCTCTAGCAACTGATGGAGACCATACCATTGAAGAAGACTCGCTATTCTGTATCAAAGCCGTTAAGATGTCAAACCTTAAAGAACTTGGAACATCTGCAAGCACCTGCTAATGTAAAACCAATCATCAAATGGTCACATGCAAGTCTACTCGCAAATTCTCTATAAACAAAGAGCAAAATGATTCACTTCCCACATACATAATTTCCTTATCATGAAATATAGCTAATAATGTACATTTAAAACAAAAAATCTCATGAAACAACTAAGAAATAAATACAAAGTCGTACCACCTTAGAAGTTCAATGTATCCTCAGGGGTTCTATCAGCATTCACCCCTTTATGTTGGTTTTCTTCCTTTCCACTCGAATCCTTTTATTTTTAGAACTCCTTTTTAAAAGTTTATAACAGGCCATGCTTCTCCAAACACTTCATGGCATAATAATAAGTCAGAACAAGGTTCAACGTGCCACCCACACTACTATTCAAATTTCCAATCAACTGATCTAAGGTTCCAGTACCACTCTTGGCGAATTTAGAAGGAATTGGTGTTCCTTTTTAATGCCTCATAGAGACTGTTTGGATTAGATTATTTTAAGTGCTTTTGAGCTAAAATAGTTTTCAAGAACTTTTTTAGTGTTCAGGTAAATTTAAAAAGTGCTTATAAACACTTGGTTTTAATCTAAAATGATGTGGCAAACGAGCGAGTTGAGTCGATCAAAAACGAGTTAAATAAAAATGGATCAAGTACTCGACTCGACTCACATTTTAAATGGGTAAAAACGAGTTACCCAATGGATAATATGGGTACCCATATTTACCCATATTATAATAGAAATCTTGTTAAAAGCTTTAAAAACAAAAAAAAATTAAAGTTTTTTTTTATCACCCAACCTCCCTTCCCCCTACTAGCGCCCCCACCCCTCCCCACACCCCATCTCCCCTAAAAAAAAAATTAACAAAACTTTAAATTTAAAAAAAAAAAAAAATTTAACCCCAGCCCCGCACACCCCTACCACCCCCCCCCACATCCCTAACCCCCTACCAGCCTCCCCCACACACCCCATCAGAAAAAAAAATTAACAAAATTTTAAATTTTTTCCATTAAAATTCTTTTAAATTTTTTTTACCACCCCACCCCCCTCCCACACACCCCCTACCCCCTACCAGCCCCCTCCCCCCACGCCCCCCTATCCCAAAAAAATGTAAAAAGAAAGTTTCATTTTTTTAAAAAAAGACTTTCTTACTACCCCACCCTTTATCACTTTTTTTTTGTGTGAAAGAACATCTTTTACCCATTTTATCCATTTAACTACCCACTTTTAAATGGGTAATATGGGTATTATTCGTTTTTACCCATTTTCAAATGAGTTGGATACCTAACCCATTTAAAATGGGTAAATATGAGTGGATACCCATATTAATTACCCATTCTGCCACCCCTAGTCATAAGTTAGGATTTTAAGCTAACTTATGACTTTTGGCTTATAAACCTAAAGCCAATCCAAACAGGCTCTTACACAATTGTGACGTCTCAGACAATGCCAAAATCCATATTTTAACCTAAGCAATGATTAGAATAAATTAAATCTTGAGGAATGGACAAAGTTTGATCTATGAAAATTGAAGAAACACTATAGAGTAAGTATTTAAGGATCACTAGAAGACTGGGTTCATGCACTGCAATTCATCTAGCACAAAATAGAATGAGGTTTAGGCAAGATTAGACGGCATTGTGGGGCCTCTAATGTAAATAGTTTTATCTACGCTCAATGTTTCAAGAGAATGGTATGATAGATGAAGATGTTACATATATAATTGAAATAGGATAGTTGAAACAAAGAAATGCTACTGAATGTTATGTTTGAGAAAGGTATGTGTCAAAGCGAAAGGCAAAGTTCTATAAAATAGTTTTTAAGACCAAGAAAGGTATATAAGAGTGCATATTGGGCCTCTAAAGTCTACCATATTCAATTGATGAGTGTTGGAAATATGCAGATGTTAAGATAGATACCTTATAATACAAGAGTAGATTTTCTTTTTGATAAGTAAGGACTTGATTTAAAGAGAACGAAGATGGTACAGAAAAAGGTTCAGGAGTTAGCAGCAAACTCTATAATCCAATACTACATATTATCTCCTTGCAAGTACAAAAATCCAAATACTTATCCATCATATCTAAAGTGTTGCTATAACATCAAAAGTAAGAATGTTTAATGCATATATTTTTTAATCTGTAACTTCTTCCCATCAAAGTATGCTGTTTCTTTCCAGTCATAAGGTACACATTATACAATTGAGAATAGTTCTCCATATTGGCTTTAAGCTCTTTTTAACCTCCTGAGATTGCCACACTTCCACAACAAGCTACTAATTTTCTCTGGTGACACCAAAGATATTCCCGTTGTGCTAAAGAAAAGTTCCCAGCATTAATCTTGAAACTCTGCAATGCAAGAAAAGATGTTCAACTGTTTCCTCGTCTGAATTGCAGAAATAGCATCTGCTGCACAGGGAAAAATTTCTCATTTGTAACTTGTTCTGTTTTTGGCAAGCATCCTATCTGCTAGCAAACCAAAAAAGTTGCTTCCGTAGGTGCTTTGGTTTTTCAAATCATCTTTCCATAGCCAGTCTCCCTGACTGAACTGTTGCAACAACATGGTTTTGTAACAGTTATTGACTGAGAATAACTTATCCATACTGTTGACCCAAACTAGCTTGTCCGCTCTGTCTTGTTTTATCGAACATGAATTCAGTTGTTGAAGTAGTTGGCAATTTGCAAAAACTGTCTATTTTCCAATCATTTAGGTTTCCACATACTGTCAGCATCGCCAACCCATCTCCCATATGTCACCGCGTTGTCGAACCATCTCTTGGTTTCTCTTGGCTATATGGTTCATCCGGGGGAAAGATTGAGCTTCAAGAAATAGTATACGGTCTTATCAGTACACAAATGTATAACTCCCCAGAAATTTCAGTTGCGCACATATTCATTCCCGCAGAAATTGGGTTCAAGCTTTCCCCAGTCCCTTCTCATCAATGAACTCCTGACGTATACATAGGAGTGCAGTTCGTTCAAGAGATTCCTACCTCTCTATCTCTGAGATGTTTGGATTTTTCAAAACTCCATGAACATGCAGATGTCACCTCGTTGCCAACCCAGATCTGATCTAACCGGAGAAGAAATGCTATTTTATGGCGATATCTATATCAAGGAGGTCTGAACAGTATCAAAATGGAGCAATACTCGTAGCAGTGAGCAATTTTCGGCTACTTCGCAAAGTCATTCCCTAACTGGTCAAGAAGTTGCGGCGTCGATCGACATTAGAGTCACTGACTCCATCAGCATTCCCCACAAATCAGCCCAATCCTTGTTTATGGAATCACTGGAACTGGAGTACTCAATAGATCAATTCATTGATTCAATCGTTCAAATCTGCAAACATCCAGATCTCGCTGAGTTCTTTTTTCCAGGTTCTATCTTCCCATTAGCCCCTTGTTTTTAGTTTCTTGTCCATTTCTACCTAGGATTTTTAGCTTCTTGTGTGAATTTCTTTTTCACTGCTGACTTATTTCCACTGTACTGTCAATTTCTGCCTATATTTTCTGTTAGTTTCTTCTTCGTTATTGCATCTGTTTTCTAGTTGCTTGCCCATTTTTGCCTATGTTTTTACTTCTTGTTCAGCTTTTCTAGCTTTCATTGCTGCCTCAATAATAGAACTGATCATTCACTCTCTGTTTTTGTTAGTGTTGTTTTTCAGTTTATTATTCGATTTTCCAGTTTTCTTGGTCAATTGCTGCTTCTGTCAAATCTTCTAGTTATCATGTTCGTTATTGCATCTGTTTTCTAGTTGCTTGCTCATTTTTGCCTATGTCTTTACTTCTTGTTCAGATTTTCTAGGTTTCATTGCTGCTTTTATAAACTAGCTGATCGTTCACTCTCGGTTCTTGTTAGTATTGATCTTTAGTTTATTATTCGATTTTCCAGTTTTCTTGATCAATTGCTACCTCTGTTTTCAATCTGCTTATTTTTTAGTTGATAGTTCATTTCTAATTCCCACTTTTGGATTTTGCGAGAGCCTTTGGGTTGTTGGTAGCCAATTTGAGTTACCGAAAGAGGAACACTTGGTTACCTTCCGTAGTTCGGTGGTCAAGACTCAAATAGACTTTTTACTCCTTAGAGAGGGTGATAATGGTTTTTGTAAAAACTTTAAAGTTATCCCAAGTGAGAATCTTTCGACCCAACATAAGCTCTTGGTGATGGATTTGGAGATCAGAAAGGATAGGAAGAAGAGGACTGAGGATGACTGGACAAGGATAAAATGGGGTAGCTTGACAATGGGAGTGCCCTGGAGATAGGGGAGAAGTTGGTGGCTATGAGAGCTTAGGGGAGTGGTGGGGATGTGGGCAATATGTGGGATAAGACAGCCAGTTGCATTAGGGAGACAAATAGAGAGGTGTTGGGTGTCTCGAGAGGCCGACCAAGTAGACATAGAAAGGACTGGTGCTGCAATGGAAAAGTACAAGGGAAGGTGGAAACAAAGAAGGTGGCTTACGCGAAGTTGGTAGAGAGTAAAGACAAGGAGGAGAAGTGGCTGAATAGGGATAAGTATAAGATGGCTAGGAAGGAAGGGAAGTTAGCGGTTAAAGCAGCAAAAACAGAAACCTTTGAGCGCTTGTATGCAAAATTAGAGGACAAAGGAGGGGGGGATAAAAAGTTATACAAGCTAGCCAAAGCTAGAGAGAGGAAGGCCCACGACCTTGATCAAGTGAAGTGCATCAAGGATGTGGATGATAGAGTATTAGTGGAGGAGGTACTCATTAGAAGGAGATGGAAGTCATACTTCCATAAACTCCTAAACGAAGAACGAGACAAAGGCATAGTGCGGGAGGATTTGGAGCACTCAGAGAGGCGTTGCCATTATGGGTATTGTAGGTGTATAAAGGTTGAGGAGGTTAAGGGTGCTATTCGTAGAATGCATAGGGGTAGACCAACTGAGCCAAGAGAGATTCTGATGGGCTTTTGGAAGAGAACAGGCGAGGTAGGTATGGAGTGGCTGACGGAGTTGTTTTCAAGACGACGAAGATGCCTAAAGCATGGAGATGGTTACTATGATTCCGTTCTACAAGAACAAGGGTGACATTCAGAATTGCAACAACTATAGGAGTATTAAGCTATTAAGCCACAGAATGGAGGTTTGAGAGAGGGTGGTAGAGATAAGGGTGAGGGAGGTTTGACTATCTCCAAAAACCATTTCAAATTTATGACAGGACGCTCAACTAAAGAAGCCACTCATCTCGTAAGAAGACTAGTGGAGCAGTATAAGGAGAGGGAAGGACTTTCACATGGTGCTTACGACAAAGTCCCTAAGAATGTTCTATGGAAGTGCTAGAGGTGTACCTGTGGCGTACACTAGGTCAATTAAGGACATGTATGATGGACCCAAGACCCGAGTATGAACAGTGGGAGGAGACTCAACACTTCCCGTGTTGATGGAGTTGGTCTACCTCTACCTATCTTGAATCCATCCATAACTAACGTCTCATACCAACCCACTGGAGCATCCACACATCTAATCATCACATGACTGAGTCATCTCAACCCCTCTTCTCGCATCTTGTCTTTCAGCGAAGACACTCCCAACTTGTCTCAAATATCCGCATTTTTATTTTATCTCTCCTAGTATATCTACACATCCATCACAACATTCTCCTCTCCACCATTTTCATCTTCAAATTGTGAGTTCTTAACTGGTCAACACTCCACCCCCATACAACATAGTTGGTCTAACTACAAACTTGCTTTTAAGTTTAGGTGACACCTCTTATAACACAAGACTTCAGATGCGAGCCTATATTTCATCCACCCTACACCAATACGGTGAGTGACATCCTCCTCAATCTCTCCATTTCCCTGGATAATCAACCCAAGATATGTGAAACTACCTCTCTTTGGATAACCTAGTATCAAGCCTCACTTCCATAGCAGCCTCATGTGTCACACCACTAAACATGCACTCAAAGTATATAGCTTGGTCCTGCTCAACTTGAACCTTAAGACTCTAGGGGTCTGTCTTCAAACCTCCAACTAAGCATTAACTCTGCACGAGTCCCGTCAATCAAAACTAAGTCATCCGCAAATAACATACACCATAGCACCTCACCTTTAATGTGTCGCAGCAATACATCCATCACCAAAGAAAATAAAAATGGGCTAAGGGATGGGAAGAGGTGATTAGACAGGACATGGCGCAATTGCAGCTTACCGATGACATGATAGGAAGGTGTGGAAGACCCGAATTAGGTAGAAAGTTAGTAGGTAGGAGTGCATCCATACTAATAGATATGAATGTTTTGTCTTGTTTCCCTTACTAGTAGTCGTAGGACTACTTTTGTTCTTCGATTTCTACCACCATCTATTATTTTGTATAGTCTGTTTGTAGTATTATTTTGTTGTAGTATTTCCTTGTTACTATCTATTGTGCATTCAATGTTTTGGACAACGAAAGGCGACAAGGGTCTGTGTGCTTGCCTTTTTGAAGTGAGGCGTCAATTAATATCAAAAACTTTAAAATATTTAATTGCATATACAAATAACAAAAATATCAATAGCAATAACATTGTAGCAAATATTTCATTTCAAAAACTAAAATTGGAGTGCACAACCTACTGGTTAAGAAGAAGAAGAAGTGAGGTGTCAATTAATATCAAAGACTTTAAAATATTTAATTGCATATACAAATAACAAAAATATCAATAGCAATAACATTGTAGCAAATATTTCATTTCAAAAACTAAAATTCGAGTGCACAACCTACTGGTTAAGAAGAAGAAGAAGTGAGGTGTCAATTAATATCAAAGACATTAAAATATTTAATTGCATATATAAATAACAAAAATATTCTTTGTCAAAAAACAATAACAAAATATCAATAGCCTTACATTGTAGCAAATATTTCATTTCAAAGACTGAAATTAGAGTGATGGTAGAATAAGGCCATGTCATTGGGTCCGGGGGCAAGGGGCAAGAGTGATTAGTAGGTTAAGGGGTTGTCTAGGTTGAGAGTGGGTTCTTGGAATATAGGGACATTGAGAGTAAAGTCCATAGAGCTAGTGAAGATGCTCAAGAAAATGAAGATTAGTATACTTGTATCCAGGAGACCAAACGGGTAGGAACCAAGGCTCGGGATATGGATATGTTTAAGTTGTGATACTCAAGAGGCTCGAGGGATAGGAATGAAGTAGGCACTTTAGTAGATAGGGGACCTAAGAGAGCAAGTGGTGGAGACTAGAAGGACCAATGACAAGATAATGATGATTAAGCTAGTCATTGGAGGGTTTACCTTGAACATTATAAGTGCATACGCACCGCAAGTGGGCTTGGACGATGAGGTTAAGAAGCAACTTCTAGGAGGATTTGGATGAACTAGTGAGGGGTATACCGCCTTCCGAGAAGTTATTCATTGGCGGAGATTTCAATGATCACAGTGGTTTTGACAATGTGTATGGAGGCTTTGGTCTTGAGGTTAGAAACAGAGGAGCGTCGCTTTTGGATTTTGCTAAAGTTTTCCAGTTGGTGATAGATAATTTGTACTCCGAAGAAGGAGAACCACTTGGTTACCTTTCCTAGTTCAGTGGCCCAAACCCAGATTGATTACTTACTCCTTAGAAAGGATGATAGAGGCCTTTGTAAGGACTGCAAGGTTATCCCGAGTGAAAATCATACTACCCAACATAAGCTATTGGCGATGGACTTGGAGATTAAAAGGGAGGAAGGGGAAAAAGAGGATGTCATATGAGGGTGCACCTGACCCCTACCCAAGCTTGGGAAATGGGGGAGAGGTTGTTGGCGAAGAGGACTTGGGAGAGTAATGGGGATGCGAACATCATGCGGGATAGGACAGCCGGTTGCATTAGGAAAGCACCTAAAGAGATGCTAGTGGTTTCGAGGGGATACTTTGGTGGTTAACGAGAGAATTGGTAGTGGAATGGAGAAGTCCAAGGAAAAGTGGAAGCAAAGAAAACTGTTAATGCAAAGTTGGTGGAAAGCAAGGACGGGGAGGAAAAGTTGATGAATAAGGAAAGGTATAAGGCGACGAAGAAACCGGTTATGGCAGCGAAAACGACAATTTTTGAATGAGCGTATGTCGAGCTAGGGGGCGAGGGTGGAGATAAAAAGATGTACAAAATAGACAAGGCGAGAGAGAGGATTGAGACTTGGATCAAGTGAAGAGCATCAAAGATGAGGGAAGATATGTGTACACTCTACCTTCCCCAGACCCCACTTCCCACTTTGTGGGATTTCACTGGTATGATGAGGTTGTTGTCGTTAGGTTTCTTCTAAAAGTAACACTCCATCCAATTGTTGAATTAAATTCTATAATGTAACCCTTTTTATTCAAAGCACATTTGAACAAGACTGGATACCTGCTTTTGAAGCTCTCATTTCCACACCGTGTCCATCCAAAATATAATCCTCCTACCACTTCCCACCTCCGATCTGGTGAACTGTAGAAATTCATCGCAGCAATCACTAATCATCTTTCAGATTCCCCCACAACTTTTCTATTGTGAAGGATTTTGTTTCCACACCTATTTTTGCACCATATATAGCATCCAAAACTTGCGGCCAAATCTCATCACTTTCCTTACTGTATCTCCAGAGCCACTTAAAAATAAACTTTTATCATGCATTTTCAGACTCCTTACCCACAGTCCACCATCCTCTTTTTCTTTTATAATCGTTTTCCACTTGATCAGAAAGAAGAGAAGAAAAAAAAGGAGTTAGATTGACAGTACTCTTATGTCTCTCACCACTTTGGATAATAAAACCAAGACACTCATTTTTCTTCCTTGAACAAATATCTGGCCACATGGAATTTAAGCCTAAGTAGTTTAAAATTCGAACCAGAGAACAAGTTATGCTCTAGTCTCTAATATTCGACAGGGCACCTGAACTGCAATTATGCAGTACTTTCATTTTAACTGTAAGATAAACTCTCCAAATTAATTTTAATATAAGAAACGTGAGAAATGAGGACCTGGCAACCTATAAGAAAAGATATTCAAAGAAAAACATCGATTCATTTTCCTCCATACCCTCAGGTAAGAGTAAGAGAACATTGAGAGATTCATAGAGGGATAACTTACAAACGCAACATATGCTGATATTACAATTTGCAAGAAATATCATCTTTCTGAGGGTCAAATTTTTCTCTAGACAGGAGTCATGTAATTCCGCTATGATAATAATACTGAGAAAGGCTTTCTGCACCAAAATAAGAAACTTCAAAGCACAAGGAAAAATGTTTTTACCTTCATCAGAGTATCAAAAGATTTCTTCCGCAAAACAGCATTTGGTGCATATATAATGACCATTTCAATCGCCTACACAGTGCGCGTCAACTTTAGGCGCAAGTAGAACAGCTCAAAAGAACCCAAGATGTTGCAACACTTCACCTGCAATGACGTATATAGAGTAGGCACATATGTGGAGTAGTCCATTGTATCGTTTTGAATTTCTTGGTGCATACATCCATCCATAATGCAAAGCAGGAAATCAAGAGCATGCACTTTCAATTCCCATGATAGGTCAACACTTGAGAAGACGTACTTTAACATGCCTATTGCCTGCCATCTTTTAGTCTGGTTCTTTTGAAGTTCATTTTTCACTGCTTCAAAATCTGTATCAGCAGCCACTGATGTCTCATTGGATTTGTAACCCCAGATTACTGCACAATATATCAGGGAAAATATAGACAGGCGAGTGAGAAGGTAGCAAACATCTGGTGAGAAGAAGAACAATTAATTAAATCCAGAAAACACTGACCTGCAAGTGATCCGCCATGCTTGACATGAGAAAAGCAAGCCATGTTATCATCCCCGTCATCTGGAAATTTCAATAGGGCATTAAAAGGCACATATGCATGAACGATTTCTCACTTCCTAGTAAAACGAAAACGTTATCCTAAATTATCATGCAGGGAAATTAGCAAACATTTTGTAACTGACGATAGCGAACAATATAGGAATAATTACATTCCAAGGCATATATTAAAAAATCTTTTAACAAAAAAGGAGAAAAATCTAACACCCACCACTACCTACAAAAGGATCGGTACCACAAACATAAGAAGAAAATAAGGATGCACGTATTTACCTCCACATATGGTTGTGAACTTGTCTACATCAAGTCCAGTAATTAATCCCTCATATGATAAACCACAGATTGGAAGAAAGTGTGACAGGTGTATCATAATGGGAAGAAGACATGAAATGTTATGCCCCATTGCAATTGAAACAAGAGCCTGCATGCAGGAATGGAATTTTGTCACAGACAGACATTGATTAAAGTTGAATTTCCGGGAAACATCATAATGGCCTCAAACAAGAACCAGAAGAGCTCAAGATGGATTTTGCATTGAGTCTAAGGAACACTGACCATGACTTGCAGGACAAACATGCCCAACAGAGCACAGAGTTTTTTCTTATCTTTCTGTTCCTGTGAAGCAAAGATCAATTAGGGTAATCCCAAGAAAACAAGATGCAGAATACGGGAATATCACGGACCAACAATTTGCAAACAGCTTGTATTGAATCTGCAAGAGCAATTGCTTTGTGGAATAAGTCCTCAGTATCTTTTCCTTCCTCATCTGCCTCTAAGGACATGGACTTTAAAACACCAAGAATAACAGGAACTGCAGCTTTCACTTGCTCAAATTGCCGTCTTTTGATGAGTATTATAACTGAAACCAACGTATAAGGTAGAAATCCAATCATGACATTGCTGACAAAAGAATGCTAATAGCCAAGTTCCATTTAGAGGATTAATAAACCTTCACGAACTACTGGCACTAAAGTTTGCTGAAATTTTAGACCAACGAAATTAACTTCGAATTTACTTATTGAGGCAGCAAGGAGAAAAAACTCAACCAGACGAATTAAACTTGATTTTTTTTGTTTTGACTCACAAACTGTTGAAGGTCAAATAAACAAAAAGTTATATTTTAAAATATGTCTAGATTCATTGAACTCTAAGTACAGAATATTATATAGGATGCCTAGGATATTTTTATTTTTAATTGTAGCATATCTACTTACATTGTTAGATGAAGAGATATTACTTGTGAAGCAGACTGAGAGACCTGTATAAGGAGCTCTTCATGTATACTGTTAGTCACTTAATGCAAGACAAGTTTTCAATTTCGGCATAGTGTCAAAGCCTCTAAATCCAAGTAGCAACTTAAGTGGCTTTTGCTGGATTAAGAATACTTTGGGATGGCTGCTAGAAAGAGCAGTTCCTACTTCTCTCTACAATCCAGAAAGAAAGAGTTCATGTCCTTCAAACTTGTGTGCGATAATCAAGCGGCACTTCAAATCGCATCAAATCCAGTGTTTCATGAAAGGACTAAGCACATTGAGATTGACTGTCACTTTGTCAAAGAAAAGATACTCTTAGGAGATATTGTTACAAAATTTGTGAAGTCGAATGATCAACTCGCAGATATCTTCACCAAGTCCATCATCGGTCCTTGTATTAATTATATCAGTAACAAGCTAGGTACATATGATTCATATGCACTAGCTTGAGGGGAGTGTTAGAATAGGAATAAATATATAAATCCTACTTAGAATAGGAATAGGAATAGGAATCCTAATTGGAGAAAGAGTCATAGGAATAGGAATCCTAATTTGAAAAGGAGTCCAATGTAGTGTCTATAAATAGGGTCTCAATGTAATAATGTAGATCCACAATTTCAATAATATATTTCTCACAGTTCCATTACAGTCGTCCTATATTTCTCTCATGATTATCCTCCAAAGAGCCTCCTCTTCATTCTCTCTAAAATATTTTCTTAAAAAGACACTAATTAAAGCATTTAACATCCCTCATAAACAATTTCCTGAACTTTAAACAGGAGCCTCCAATTCAATATAAAATCCATAACCTCAATTTTTTTATCCATTAGTATTTCTTGTTTAGACGTACATTTTGTCATAGCATTTTCTTATTCAGCATCAGGTTCTCAATCTAGGATATTGAAGTTGTAATTGTGTTCTTCCATCAGTACTAAGAGATCCACAACTATTACCCTCAGTTCATTCCATTACCAGAAGAGGAATAGCTCCAGCAATGAAGTTGGGATGTTTAGATGCTATAGAAACACATCGGGTCTAAACCACCAGGATAAAAGGCAAGCCAAGTGCACTCAAGTTGGATTTTAGTATGCGGCTCTCACTTTTGACAATTCCATCATATGAATGGAAGGGGAAAGAAACAGAAGTTACCATTCAAACGGTATTTGGGATTAATAAAGTTTTAACAATCCTCTTCCTTAAGAAAAAATACAAAATACAAATAAAGCATTGCAGGAGCTCACAGATTCCACGAGCTTCAGAGTGTAATTGTGTTGTTTTAGGAACACCTAAATCATTTGAGAGTTCATAAAAGGTGTATACCAGACGTAACTTCTAATTTCTGGCGTGAAAATAAGTCCCAATATCCTTGTGTGGACTCAACAATAACATTATGAGATTTCCGCTTTTTACCACCTTAACAAATATCACTACACAGTTTTAACCTATTTCCTCTAGTCTAATAGTAAATTGTCAATCAATGAAATTATGGATTACCTTTGCCGAGGCCACCAATGAGAGGAGAAAAATAGCAAGGAACCCTGAACATTTCAGTTGGAGAACTTAGTGCCTGAAAATTTTAACATAGGCCATCATAAAAACGGAGAACAAAATGTTTACAAGCACAAACCTAGAAAGAGTCAGCATTGTATACTATCTTTAAACTACAGTATGTGAGCCCCCAAAAAATGCACTAATTGAGCCTGACTCACTAATCAGGCACTATATTAAAGTTAGAAGCGACATGGAAGTTACTTGAAACTCTAATCCTCATAAATCAACTGCTATCTCTCTTAGGAATTTCTCCTATCAAAGAAATAGCAATCAGATGAGGGTAAATGGAAATTGGTACAGAACAACCTTGAACAGTTGGTGTCCAACTCTCAATAAAATGGCTCCAGATTTTTAATGTGTAATTAGGTAGAATAATACAAGCTACACAGTAAAATTGTCAAAGACAACAATATTCTTCCATTCAAAGCTCTTTATAAGAGAAATGTTAAAACACGCTAATTCCTCATTTATTTACTTAAGATGATGATGACATGGCTGCATACTGCTGACATGCTCTGCAGGATTTTACTTAGTACTCTGATTCTGAACAATGTATCACAGAATTTTATAAAGAACTCCAATAAAGAAAGAACCATAAATGTAGAGCTAGAACAAATTCATACCTCGCAAAGAATTGATAGCATTTCCCGCGGAGAACACATACTAACTAGATGTCCAACAATGAGTTCAGCAATCTCGGAGCAGCTTTTGGATGCACATGCAAATTTACATACTACCTTGGGCAACTCAAAGGACAAAGCATCAATAACTTCCTACAACAAAGTATAAAGATCACAAAAAATCGTTTTCCAAACAATACAGTAAATCACTTCTACTTCCAATTTTATTACTTAAGTGAAGGGGAAAACACTAAATTTGACGGAATTGCCTGGTTTCTGGAAGGTGCACTTATGAAACAATGAATTTCAGTAAGAATCTGGAATGATGTTGTCTCTAAATCAAGATTTGATGCTTCTTCCGAGATGGGAGTAAGGAAATCGGCAAGCCCGGTGAGTAATCCATCGGAATTGCTAAAGTCACCGGCTTCAATCAACTAAAGATATAAGAAAACTCATCAATAATGTTTGAGGTTAAAGATATGACTATAAATAATCATGTAGGGAGAGAGTCGGTGTGTTTTGTGGCTTACTTGAGAGCATGTAGTCAGGGTCTGTTGGAGGCGAGGAATGAGGGAATCGGAGAGATGTGGTTTCTCTTCCGACATTCTAATCTATCTCTCTCCGCCGGCGATGCTGTGGAGGGTTCCTTACTAGCAGATACACGACTCCCTTCCAAGCGACTTCGCGGGAAACCTTCTTCTCATCACAACTATACTATTAGGTGAGCGTGTCAGCACAGCCCGATATATATTATTTATTTTGTACTAATTTACGTAACATATATTTTACTTTATTACTCTTATTTAGAAGTGAGAGTTGGAAAGGACCAACATTGCATTAATACTCTTGTACAACATGCATACAGTTTTGTACATTAACTTTTCACTGCATTAATTAGTTGTACAATGTGCAAAAACAATTGTACATTAATAGAGGACTAACACCAAGGACTAACATTGCAATTATTATTATTACTCATTAGTCCTTATTAGAATTATTATTATTAATCATTAGTCCTTATTAGAATTATTATTATTACTCATTAGTCCTTATTAGAATTATTATTATTACTCATTTGGCTTCATCTACTTCTACTTTTTCTACACATATTTTTCTTTAATAAAATAATTATTGCCTCCATTTTTTTTAAAAATTTTTAACATTTATTTTTAATTTTAAAACATTGGAAATTTTATGTTAAAAATTTAAATAATAGAAAAAATGATTTATTTAACTTTTATCATCATCGATACAACTAATTTATTTGACGTTTTTTCTTAATCTTCATCTCATCATTAATGTTATTTATATAATTTTCTTAAATCACTTATTTTTTCTTTTTTAACTCTTTTTTTATATATATAAAAGTTGGATATGTAAATGATGATGTCACATTTCTTAGAAGCTAACATTACTATTTATCTAATTTGTCCAAATTTAAAAAAAAATGAAGTTATCATACGCAAATTTATGGTTAAACTTAAACTATTTGATTCTCGAAAAATAAAAAGTCTCACATAAAATGGGACAGACGAAGGATAACTCTCAATTAAATTTATTTCACTTTTTATTTTCCATTTTTAGCATAATTTTTCAAGTTGGATTTCTAGGAATTCTATAGTAGACCCATTTAAATTTTACTTTTTTGTTTTAAATTAGAGAACTTGGCCGCACTTCGCGCGATCATTTAAATTAAATAAATTTTTTTAATTTTATATTTACTTTGTTGTTTAATTGTAATATTATTATTTGTCTTAATAATATGAAGATTGTGAAAAAAAATAAAGCTTCACAAATTTTACATCTATTAAATGAGGAAGAATATATTTTTTATCAAATAAGTTAAAATATATTTGCTAATAACAAATTCTTCCATTGCATGAAGTTCATCCTTTAATATATAATATATATTTCGGTCTACCATTCTCCTTAAATGTCTAAGAAATATCTCATAATGTCAAATAAGACTGTAATACTCTCTCTGTCCCTAATTACTTCTCCACTTTTAAATTTACGCATTTATTAAGAAATCAATTAATGACATAGTCAGTTTATCATTTTACCCCTATTAATTATGAAGTAGATGAAAAGTTCTGCAATTTTCAAAGTAATTGCTCATTTAATTGAGGGTATAATAGGTTAAAAAATATTCTTTCTTGATTTGTCAAAATGGACAAGTAATTAGAGACAACTATAAAAGGAAAAGTAAACAAGTAATTAGGGACAGAGGGAGTACTAAACAAATGCATCAACAAATGAAATTTATATTAAAAATATATTGAATAATGACATAAAGATACCTTAATAGAATTTCCTATCCATTTACAAAAAAAAAAAAAACGTCACCCTTTCAATTTCGTTATATCTTCTTATTTAGTAAAAGAATCATCATTTATTATATTTTACTCCAGCTTCATTTGTACCGTCAGAGTTTTAAGAATAAACATTAAATTTTAAATTGAAATAAAATTCATTGAAAAATGACAGAAAAAATAATAATAGTATATGAAAATTAAAATAAGGTGCAAGAAAAGCCTTTTCACAATAATTTTTTCAAATATATTGACAACAATTAAAATGAAGCTGTTATTTTATCTTTAAAATTAAGTTTGATTGAATTGAATTAGTACAATGAGAAAAAATATTAAACTAATAACTTTTTGATGTTATTAAATGCATTCTATTTTTAATTGAGTAGTAGATTGAAAGTTCCGAATTAGGATATTAAAATAATATCTTACTCTCTCCTTAATTATTATGGTATTGCAAACATTTATTTTCCTTAAATCGTGATTCATTTTCCATTTACAATTATATCCAATTAATTTCTAATGTATTGAATGTGGTTATGAGATATTGAAATAATATCTTTATTTTTCCTTAATCATAATAAAATTATAATTTAACATTTATTTTTCTGAAATGATAATTTTGTTTTAATTCCTAGAACATGTTGTTTACTATATTGAATGTAATTATAATAAAACATATTGTATTTAGTATGACAAAAGAACTCAAAAAATGGAGAAATTAGATAAATAGTAATCTTAACTTCTAAGAAATGTCACATCATCATTTACATATCCAACTTTATATATATAAAAGAGTTAAAAAAGAAAAATAAGTGATTAAACAAAATTATATAAATAACATTAATGATAAGATGAAGATTAAGAAAAAACGTCAAAAAAATTAGTAGTATTGATGATGATAAAAGTTAAACAAAATCATTTTTTCTATTATTAAAATTTTTAACATAAAATTTCCAATCTTTTAAAATTAAAAATAAAGCTTAAAAAAAAAATTGAGGCAATAATTATTTTAAAGAAAATATAACCAAAATTGTCAAAAAAAAAATAAAAAAATAAGTAACTATCTATTAGTAAGAATGGTGTCACTACATTTTCTATTTTAACTTTATTGTTACGTATGGATAGAAACTTTTACATGAAGAAATGATCCAAAAAATTAAAAATAATGATTCCTTAAATGGTGATTCCTTTTCCATTTACAGCTTTTCAATTAATTTTTAATGTATTATATATGCTTATGGATATTGGAATAATAATTTTATCTTTCCTTAATCATAATAAATTATATTTTAACCTTTGTTTTTGTGAAATGATAATTTTCTTTTCATTCGTACAACATATTGATTAATATATTAAATGTAATTATAATAAAACATGTTGTATTTAGTATGACAAAAGAATTCAAAAATTTTAAAAATTATAGAAATAGTAATCCTAACTTCTAAGAAATGTCACAAATATATATATATATGTATGTATATATCTAAGAAAATGATATAAATTACATTAATGATGAAATGAAGATTAAGAAAAGAAGTAAAACAAATTAATAATAATATTGATGATGATAGGAGTTAAAAAAATCATTTTTTATATTTTGTAAATTTTCAATATAAATTTTTCAGTCTTTTAAAATTAGAAAATGCTACAAAAATAAAACTAAAACTAAAAATCGAGGCAACAATTATTTTAAGGAAAAAATAACAAAAAATGTCAGAAACATTGATCAGAATAAATAAGTATCTATTGCTAAGAAGGTGTCACCCCACATTTTCTATTTTAGCTTTATTATTACATATAGATAGAAACTTTAAGATGAAGAATGATCCAAAAATTTTAAAAATAACAAATCAATTATGTAAAAATACATGTGTAATTCTTATAAAGTTATAATAACTAATTTCTTCAAATAAATAATTAAATGAAAGAAAAAAAAGTAATTAAGAAAATAATATAAATAACACTAATTATGAGATTAATAGCATTGATGAGGAAAGGAACTAAATATGATCATCTTTTTAAATTCTTTTTTAAGAAAATATATATAAACTTTAATTAAAGATAAATAAGAAAAAAAACTTTAATTAAAGATACAAAAAATCAAGACAAAATAAAAGAAGAAAGAAATTAGAAGAATAATGAGGTTGAAAGAAATAATATCTAATTTTCTCTCTTTTCAAGTCACAAAATAAATTTTTGCTTGTTCTCCTCCTAATTTGATACGAATTCCATAAATAGAATGATTTTTTCTCCAAATAATTTTTCTTACCCTTTGAAACACTAATCAGGCTTCTTATAAATTTCTCAATCACAATGAATTTTCTCTCTTTGTAGGAGGAGGAATAAACATTTTTTCAAAATGTCTTTTATTTTGAAAAGAATTTTTTGTTACATAATCTCTTTCTTTACATCAATGTCTTCACAAGAATAATGAGATATTCTCTCTTTCTCTTTTGTTAAAAAAGTCACATGACCTAGAAATTTGATGGACATCTTAGCGACAAAAGTTGATACCATATATTGATCATTATCGTCAGAAGAAGAAGAACCAAAGTGAAGAAATTTGTTCTTATTTGTTACAAATGCTCAACTATTTTGTTTTTATTTTATAGGCTAAATAATTATAAACAGTTATAAAAAATGAATAGTTTTTATCTTTTCATCTTCCATTTTCATTTACTTAAATTTATATTAGTGTAATGGATGTTATAAAAGGCATAATTAATCGGGTATGACATAAATACATTTTTTTTAAGTACAAATAAAAAATACAAAACAAAGATAAAATGTCAAAAAAAGGAAAAAAATATGAATACAAATACTGGTCATAGAGAGATGCCACATCAAATTGTCAATATTCAACTTTGTATATACATATATAGGTTCATGCCCTTAGATGTTATTTTATTACTTTAGCTGACATCGACATTTTTGTAAATCTGATATCTACTTTGGAACATTTTATAATGTGGCATAGGCTGACAATTCAGATCATAAATTTAAAATAATAAAATTTAATTTATTATAATACTAATATCAATATCATAAAGATATATATATATATATATATATATATATATATATATATATATATATATATATCATTTAAAAAATATATAAAAAGTATTATGAATTGTAATAATTAACCGTTTTTAAAAAAAAATCATATAAGTAATTTGATTTACACTCCAAAATTCATAGGTGTCACATAATTTACACATTAATTCTTCATTACTTAATATATGTAATTATATCAATGACATATAAATTGAAATTAAAAAATACATATTTTATTTGAAAATCACGTAATAGTACTATAAGATATAATAATTAACAACTTAACATATTTAAAAATTTTAGTTGACTCTCCAAATTCCATAT